GCTATATATCTACCAAGGCTTTTTGTTATGGGGGTGGGGGGATAGCAAAAGCTCACTTTGTTTTTTAAAGGGAACAGCATTTTTCCTGTAGATTTGTTCTTGTACGAGATATCAAGAGCTCACTATATATGTTTTTACCACTGTAAAACTATGAGGTGAGTGTTGGCATGGAAGAGCATTAATCTTTTGAGTAGGCTAACAAAGTCTTACCAGGGCTGGTGTATGATTAACTCGGCATTGGAAATCCACAATAAACTCAATTTCCAACTGGAATAACCTGACCTATATTTAGAAAAAATGTTAAAAGGCAAAAGCCAGCTACTGTTTAGTGTTGCCATTTGTGTCAATAATACCCTTTTCACAGTTAACAGAATGTGTTCCATCAATTTCATTCACCTTCAATATCTTTACGTGGATTTGCCTTTTACTACACAAACCCCGACAGTATTTTACTACTTGTTGCAACTGTACTTGCAGACTAGTGACAGTGTGAAAAGGGTATTAGTTTCAGTCAAACTTAGCCTCCTGATTTGAATTGGATATATACCTGCCCAATGTAACAATTTCTAATTAATGAAATGACATTGAGTTATGTGATATTTTTTTTAGCATGTTGAGGATAAAGCTGGTCCCAATGCTTTTCTGGATGCTTCAAACAGATTCTACACTCTGATTCCACATGATTTTGGACTTCAGAAACCACCTCTTCTGGATACCTTGGAAGTTATTAAGGTTTGTTTTATTTTCAATTATACATTATATTTTTATTTTAATTTTTACATTTGACAGGTTTGGCAGTGGCAGACCGTAGGGTAAATTGCAGGGTATGGCATATCTAGGATCTGCGAGGGTCGCACACGCCCCTCCCCCTGATAAAAATACTCGCCCATCCACCGCTCACAAATCATGCTCAAGTAGTTAAAAATCACCTCAAATCACATTATTTTGCGAGTTAGCACCCTCACCTAATCACCGATCCCCACTTCACCTTCCCATCACATTAGCTCCCTTCCATTTCAAGACCCCTACCACTGATGCTAGGGCCTGCTAGTAGGAAAAGTTTGTAAGCCTACTACTATACAGGATCAGATTGCGCTATCAAAATACAAATGTATGTTATTTTTAATACCGGCATGGTTGTAGTATCTTCTTTTCAAAATAATTCCTATTCCTCTATTTTAACATGTTTCAATTTAAATAACAATAATAATAATTCGAAGTTTCTTCTATACCGGTTATATGCATGCAAATTTATTTAAACCTTAATCATTGAGATTAGGCATATATATAGAATACCTGATCGACAGTGAAGGTCCTGATTTTCGAGAAGAAGAGCATGCGCACATACTCTTGGAAGCACTGTTTCCATTCCAGTGTTAAATTGGCTATTCTGACGCCACCACACAGTTGTCACAATAGAAAATTTAAGTGTTGTAAGGTATGCTCTGACTTCCATTGACTCATTGAATATGTGATTAGTTAATATTGAAAACCGCTGAGAGTACGATGCGATAGGCCCAAATGTGACTAATTATCCTAGAACCAAAATAGGCCAAACATTGAAAAACTTTGCTTTTCCAATAACCTACAACTCGAAAAATTAAGGTTTATATAGAAGATTGTGGCTAAGAAATGCTAAATCAAACGAAATCAGAAACTGTACAACTATATTTTTTTATTTGTTTTATCCAGTGTATGCACTGCATACCTTGCTTGCCTTGACGGTCCGCCACTGATGATTGGGCACTTTCCCTTTGATATATATCACATATATGGATTTTTTTTGCAAATTTTGAAATATTTTTGCTGTTTTTAAGTGAAAGAAATTAAATTTGATTATACTCAGCATGTATATGGTTTCAGTCTTCCGTTTTAGTTTGAACGTCACGATCTTATTCTGAGAAAGAATGATTGAAATATCTGTTCATTTAGTAAATTTTTAACAAAAAACATGTGGTCATTTTCTGCAATTAATGGCCCTGGCTCCTGGACAATATACTTGGCAACAAAGGAAATAAAAAGTTGATCTTTCAGTAAGAAAAGACCAATTTTTTTTCCTTTACTAGACTGGATTTTTGAATCAACAAAGATAGATGCTCCAAGTCCCTTGTATTTTCTGTATCCTACATACAGCTTAAAGTTTGTCTTGGTTTGACCATGTATGTGATAAACCACTTTAAAAAATGCTTAGGTCACTTTCTTCTTGAGTGTGTTTGGCTTGACAGAGGAAAAGAGAAACACAGCACATCGCTATCAACTTTTAATTATTTTTCAGCATATCTCCATGATTAGAAGGAGAAGAAAAGGCTTTCAAATTAGAATGATCCATTCAAAAAATGCTGCTAACCAGAATGTTGTCTGGAGTCATAATCTTATTAATATCAATTAAGGCTTTCAAAATTGAATAAAGCAAGCATAATGGATAACATGCAAAAAAAAAAACTGTTACATAATTATATAACTTCATGCAGCTACCAAGATGTAGGCAATATGAGTATAAACTAAAACTTTAACCATCCCATAATGATCAATTATCATAACAGGAACATAGTGATCAAGAAGTTTGAATAGTTATTCTGATTAAGATTTGCAATAGTATTTCAAAATAAGAAATAAACATTTTGATTGGTTTTGGTTTAAATATTTCTTTATTGTGGCTTTACATTACATTAATTAACTCCAGTAGCATTTTCCCCCAAATAATGAAATATTATGCTAATTTTGAGAGATCAACCTATATAGTTATTTTCTGATAATATTGGTAGTGATCAATATTTAAAAATAATTGAATTACATGTATATATTATTCAGAGTAAGTGCCAAATGTTGGACAGTCTACTGGAAATAGAAGTTGCATACAGTTTATTAAAAGGTGGTGATGATGACCAGTCTAAAGATCCAGTGGATGTCCATTACGAGAGCCTCAAGTGCCAAATGGAGGTAAGTGCATACTTATCATTAGGGATGTTTGATGGTACTGATCTGATTCAACACATCTAATTAAACATGTCTATAATTGAACACATCTATAATTAAACACATCTGTTAAATAAACACTACTACAGTTACAATAGTTCAAGTGCAATGTTAAAGGAGGTTGCGGAGTCTAAAATAAATAATAGTAGGATTGATACAACTTCTCCGAGTTCAGTAATAAAGAACATGCATTGCAATTTAAGTCTCTAGTCAACATGTGGTATGTCTTATTATTCAAATTACACAGTGTTGAAGCATATTAAAATTTTGTTAATGGACTAAAAAAATTGAAAAGCTCGCATTTGACATGGGGTATAAAATATATTTTGAAATTAGCAGTTTTTACCTAAACTATACTGTAAAGCCCTTTATTTTCATGCACACTTTATTTGATAATCGCAAAAAAATTAAGAGTGTACAAAAATTCTGAATGCTTTTTTGTTTTCAAAAGCAAAGTTAGCTAGTATACAACTGATATTCCCTCAATAAAGTATTTGGTGGGGGCTGAGGGGGCTAGTTCCAACTGTAAGGGAAAGGGCCCCAGCCCCTCCCCCAGCCTTTGTGGGTCAATTCAAGTTATTTCCTCCTACGAAAATATAGAATCTCCACCACAGAAAACATTATCTTGATGCCTACTAAAAAACCGAATTTCATCCAATATTCGAAGCTTCCTGGGGGATCTGTCCCTGGACTTCCACCGGGAGCCCTAGGGTCCCTCAGCCAAAGTACTTGCTTCACTCATTCAGCCCCTCCATCATGCAGGTCCTGATGCCATCACTACTACAATACAGATATTTCCCATTACAATCTTTTTATAAAACAATTCATTGTAGTTATTTTTTCTGATTTACAAATGTTAGGCTTATCCTGTGCAACATGTGAAATTCACTGTGAAATTGGAAGTTTGCAGCGCAACCTGACATTAATAGTTACAACATATAGTGGAAACATACAGATACAAACATTGTGCTTAACTCGCCTAACTCTCAATATGTGGCAAAGACAAGCCAAACTAGTCACTCGTCGCAAATTGTGTTTCAGAGAAAATAGCAAAAACATGCTAGAATGTAAAATTTTTAAAAATCTATTTTATTTCACTAAACTAAGGTTTATGTATCTATACATAATGCTGTGCTGTTATTTTTACCAATTTCAATGTTAAAACAACACTTTTTAATGATTTTATGTTAGTTTCTGCATGAGAAATGCCTGAAACCATAAAATTTGAAGGCTAATTTCTCATATATTGTTATTCAAACAGCTGTACGCTTAAATGCTTGTAACTTCAGAAGGAAATGTCGAATTTGAACGATTTTTTACCATTTTATCGCTCTTATTTTACTCTTTAACCACCCTGTAATAATAACTCAAAATCGATTTTTGCGACGAGTGACTGGTTTGGCTTGTCTTTGCCACATATGAGGGTTATTTGAGCAGCCAGACAATCGGACTCCATTTAAACCATTCTTCAGCACAAGAATCAGGAACGATACCTCTCGGCCATTTGCTTAACTCATTATCATTTTTATTACTGATCTATTTTTTTTAAACTACATTCTATTCTGTACAGATTATGTTTGAATACAAGTATACAATAAGCAGAAACATTTGTTGGAACACATTTGCAAGTAGACATACTTGGTTACTGTAAATCTTATAAGTTTATTCATATATTTAAACCTTTGTTTCTTAGGGGAAAATCACCAGAAGCTATAGCATTTTATGTATTTAATTTAAACAGTTATTCATCCAAAATAGAGGATTTTTTTTATCTAATTTTTAAATACAATATTTTTTTTCCAGTTGGCCTGTGCCCCTCTGGTACACTGTCATACAAACTGCATTAGCATTGGCTAGACCATTGAGTTAATGTGGACTCAGTCTGTTGGATAAAAAGGGGTTTCCATCAGACCATAGAGAAAATAGAACAGACAAACATTGATTCATCCTGTTTAAAAGACTATGGTTGCCCAACATGTTTAGATAAACTTTGGCTAAAAGATTTGATACATCATGCAAACTATATTGGCCCAACATACTTATAATGACATTGGCTAAATGCTCACTTTTTTATTTTGGAATGTAGATAAATTGCCTTGCCCAAGTACAATTGAATGACAGCCCATGACTCAAACACGTTTTTTTTTTTATATGAAGGCCATAGCACTACTATTTCGTTCCACGTAAAATTCAAGTCATATTTTACAATCATGATAACAATCAATTATAATATAGATAAATATAGTAAGTTAACTCAATCAATATACTCTTACAAATTGGTGTACAGCTGCATTTAACACAACACAGTTGTAAGTCCCTTTTGTAGTGTAAGCTGACCTCTCTAACTTTCATGCATTTTTTATGCAAATGCTTCACTCTAGTATAAACCCACTGAAATATCACAATATTGACTGCTCATGAAGGGAATGGTGAAATCTATTGCCCTGAGGTGATGTGGAGGCCGTAGCCTATCTTCCCGAGGGCCGAGGGAAGATAGGCTACGGTCTCCACATCAACAAGGGGCAATATATTTCACTGTTTCCAAATATAGAGCATTCAATATTTGTTTTATATACCTCATACATAGATTCTGCGAGGCCTAAAAAAGTACTTACTTCCTAGCCTGTTATATTAGAGGCATATACAAGGCCTACTACTACTCGACTAGCTAGGCCCCTAGGCGATCAAAGAGTGTGCCTAGCTCTTCTTTGCTTATTTCCTCAATTTCAACAGCACCCATCGTTTTGCAATATATTTGTCGAATATTGATAAGACATATTTAATTTGTCTTTTGGTACTTTTTCTATCTGCTTTATCAAGAAGTAATGCTATGCCTAGGCTAGTCCTCCCTCATCTCGAAACGAGCAGCCTCCATATTTGTTTATCGTCTACTCGCTGATCCGTGACGCGGTCAGGGGATAATCTCATCGTAGAGGTCGCAGTCCCCTTTGTTAGCAGCGCGATGTAGGGCCTAGTGGGCCTAGAGTTTGCACATCGCGACACTTGCGAGTAGAGAACAGACGTCAACCGTGTTCTGATTGGCCAAACAGGCACGTGACAATCAAAGGTCGAAGGAAGGCACCACATGTGTTCTGCGTGCTGTGCTGTACTGCTTGTTTGTTTTGACTGGTTCTGATATGAAACCACAGCAGAAACTGTTCGAAAGCAACAATCATTCATTTAATTTATTTCACCAATTAAACATTAAAAACAATAACACAAAAGGACAAGACAAACCTTGTCATGCCATAAAAAACATAACTTGTTTGTTTTACTGTAATGAACTTATTGTGTCAACAGTAGTTCTTAACTTATCACAATTTAACAATAAATAAATGAATTACTACTCTTTATTCGTATATTTTTTAACAAGTAAAAAAAATATACAGGAGAGGAAAAATAGTCTTTCCATGACGTAGTTGGTAGAGTACCTAGGCCTAAACGTTTTATGATGGGGTTGCAGATAGAGAAACATCTTCGACTTGGTGATTTAAAAATTATAAATAAAAAAATTTAAAATGATAAATAATCTAGGCCTATTATGAGCCTATCGTACAATATCAACAAAAGCAATATTTTAAAAATTAATTTATAAAATTAATTAAAATATTATTTTTTAAGGAAACATCGTAACTTCCAGTCTAAAGAGCATTTGATTTTAACATTGTTTATAATTTGCGCTATATATTCTCAATTATTATTATTATTATTATTATTGTTATTATCATTATTATTATTATTATTATATTATTGATGTTATTGTTGCCTGCAAATATTTTTCTAACCACGAAGTCGGAAGATTTTCTCTGCAACCCTATCATAAAACGTTTAGGACTCCTGTGATTTATTTAACAGTGATACCCGGCCTCTATACAGGTTTGTGAAATATTTATTGCTGTTGGACAACACGCACTCACCAACCCGTCGCTACGTCATGGAAGGACTGTTTTCCTCTGCTGTCCAGGGCCACCGAGAGTTGGGCAGGGGAAAAGGTCAAGGGCCACCGAGAGCATGCAGGGGGAAAATGTCCCCGTGGCCCAAGCTTACTTTTTTAAGCTTTTTTTTTTTTGCCCATAGAAATTGAAAGTAGCATTTTTTTTCAATATTTCTTTCAAAAATAATAATTACTATCATGTGCCCTCAAAAATGTCCCCTATAAACCCCTCCAAATTGACAGGGCCTCTCAAAAAAATTTGTTGTGCCTTCCGCGCAGTTTACTGTTACAGTTTCCCCTCTTGGCAGCCCTGATGCTGTCTTATTCTTCTTATAATTGTTCAAAAAAATAACGATGAAGTTGTAATTTATATTGTTATTAATTAAATACGTGGTAAGTCTAGAACTACTGTTGACACGATAATTAACTGTTATACCGCCAAGACAGATGGGAAACTCCAATTGATTCGAGCTGAGAGGATGAAGTATAAGTTTATAAACATGTTATGCCTTTTTATTCTTGTTGCGTTCGAACCATAGAGATATAACATGGAGGAATAATATATTCCTCCATGGATATAATAGCTCTATTGTTCGAACCGAGTTTCTGTGCTTGGTTTCCATATCAAAACAAAACAAGCAGCACATGTGTTGCCCTTCGACCTGTCACTGTCACATGTTCGTTTGACCAATCATAACACGGTTGACGTCTGTTCTCTACTCACAACAGGTCAAAAAAGTACTATTTTTGAGGGGAATAGTACTTTTTGAGGGGAATAGTACTTTTATTGCCCCACTTCTTAACCAATCAAATGCCTAGAATCTATGTAAACGTATGAGGTATATTATATGATATATAATACTTTGAAATTTTAGAATTATAGGGCTCTTTGAGACTTGAGGTCATAGGCATCACTAGTATTTTTATACCTTTAGAATTACAGTACAGTATATACACATAAATTATATGATATGGAGTAAATATGTTTTATTTACAAATTTAGTAAGAAAAATTAGTCAGCAATACTACTGCACCTTTCAAGCTTTCTCATCTCAATACTTTGCCGTGTCCTTTTGGTGCGACTGTCGGTAGTCAATGTTAAACTTTCTTTTAATTCTGTTTTTCTACAGAATAACACTTGTTTCATTGCTTTCCGAAAATCACTTCGTACCAGCATGTATATTATAGGATTTACTGCAGAGTTAATGTACAGTAGTAGTGCTGTCACATAGTGGAAAGTATGAGATGTTGCAAAAATGTTGATATCAAATTCATAAATGAGAAGGTTGAAATTGAGGGGAATGACACAAATAATGTACAGAGCTGTTGTCAGAATCAGCATGTTTATCACACGTCGCCGTTTAGCTAATTGATATTTTCCAAGTGTCTTCATAGAATTTCTCTTTAGCTGTTTGACTGCTAGAACATATAGAGTTATGATAATGGGAACCTCTAAAATCGCCAGAAATTCATCCATGAGATACAGGTATTTTATGTTGTCACTAGTGTATCTTGATGTGCATAGGGTTGAGGTTTTAGGGTGTGCCATAATGTTTGTACTTACTTCCCATTTGAGTCTATATGTAATTAAAGTCTGATTAGTGTAGTATGCCAGTGTAGGGATCAGATGTATTAGCCATACAGCTATTGATATATATATTGCAGTTATATTGGTGCTAATTATTCTGAAACGAATCGGATGACAGATTGCAAAGTAACGATCAAGCGCTATAAATAGAATCATTGCACAAGATACAGCTCCACTCCAGTTAGAAATACTCTCGAAAATGATACAAAAATAAACTGCTTTATCTCCAAGACCTCCAACATCTTCCACTAACACTGGACTTGTAGAGTAAATGACCCAACGTCTTATTGTGGATGCTAGTAAGAAGGTTAGATCGGCCAGAGCCAAGCTAACTAAATATATGTTCGTTGGTGTATGAAACAAACGACAACGAGTTATCATTAAGATTACTAAGACATTACCAGTGATACCAATAATGAAAATGATTGGCATGATGGCTTTGATTATAACTTTTGATGCCTTGTCATACACAACTTCATGATAGTTAGAGTCGCTAACGTGATGGTAGCTGCTTGAGGAGTAACTGGAAAATGAGAAAAAGTCAGTCAAATTCTCTTCAGTATATGCCATCTGTAAAAAAGGATCAACCAAAGAAAAAGATTTTAATTAATATTGTACTTGTAAAAGGAGTGGTGGTCTTAGCAACTATCATTGTGTTTCACTGTCTAGCCAACATCATTATAATAATTAGTGACCGGCTGTGGCAAAACCCTACATTTGTCGCAATTTCTAATTTCCTGCTAGCACCCAGAACGTCAGAAAATCAGAATTTTGAGCAGATTTGGGTTTTTGCAGTTTATGAAAGTTCATATTGAAGAAAATTTCTGCAAAATAACTTCACTAATACTCAACCAATTTCCATAAAACTTTTTTTTTCTTCTTTTAAAGAAAAATCAGTGCAGAATCTACAAATAACAAAAATTTGATTTTGAATATTATATTTTTTTATATTTTATTTTATTTTTTCCTTTGCCAGAGCCATATTTTTCAGGAAGTGATTTTCAAATGCATAAATAGTTGTTGACGGAATGTCTGGAGGATGTCTGTTATGTATGTTGTGTATGTTATGATGTTGTATGTTATCAGGGGAGGATGTGTGATGTATTATCGGGGAAGGGTGTGTGATGTATTATCAGTGGAGGATGTCTGATGGACATATGCCTTTGTATCAGCTGCTCTCACTAAAGTAGTGTGTTAGTGTAAAATTGTTATTTTACAATATTTTAATTGATATAAACAAGTCATTATTAAACAAATTGCAGAAGAACTTCATGCTTTATCCACTATAACCAAAGTTGGAAACTAATCCATTACATCCCTATTTTTTTTAAATGTCTAAATGTTTTTTAATGTCTAAAAGCAAACAATTGTTTTCCTGACTGATGCATCCAAATTTCAAGAAACAGTACCTACACATCTTATACTAAGTACTTACATTATATTTAATCCACTGGTCAGCATTAAAATGTTGTTAAACCATTCCAGCAAAAACAGTACTGTCTTCGATTGCATTTAACATTAAGCTTTAAATTTACCAGTAATTTATTTTGCAAGACGATGCATACTGAATAAATATATTGATGTTTGTTGAAAATGTATTATACAAAAGCTATATGATTCATTCCGGCTTTATATACTTTTTTTCTATCAACACACCTGCCTGCATATTTTGCAAATATTAAACAATATTTATTTCTGTTTACTACTACTATGAGCTCTGTACTCTTTAAATTTCAAGGCTTTTGTCATTACAAAGAAGCTAAAGCAGTAAACATTGATTCCCTCATTAAGCCTTGTTTATTGATTTTGACCTCATTAAGAATAATGCATTTGTAGCAAAAACACTTTTTTTTATTGAGAGTTGTCAAGGGATAGAATGTAGTTAATTTTTTATGACTATTATTTTACTTGTAAGTACTAATTTGAATGACTCTTTTTGACTATAGTTCATGAGTGATTTTGTGAACTTTCTTTCAACAACAATCTTATTAACCATGGTTGGTCCAGAGTTTTTAAAACTGGTTAAAAATTTGCTATGTAAAAACAGATATTGTTTTTTCCAAACTATGTTTCTAAAAAGCTGATTAGGCAGCCATCTCTTTTTATTATAAGTACTTGCTATAGCTTGTACTGTATTACCATTCAATTCATCCATCCTATTATGGAGCTGTTGTGCAGTTTAGATAAATTCCAAAATATTGATATTGTTTTTTGAGTCAGCATGCTTATTAAACTTATCCTTCCCAAAAAATTCAAATGAACTTGAAATAGAAATCTGACTATATGAAAATAACATTGCAGGTATGATGATGACATGATAAATTTACAAACTTTATGAATTTTAATTATGCATATCATATTTTTTCTACTTAGGTCGTAGAGAAAGGGAGTGATGAGTTTGATATGATAACAACATATGTTGCCAATACCCATGCAAAAACCCATAGCAGCTACAAATTAGAAGTCCTTGATGTAAGTCTTGCATTACTTCTGCCAAGGAGATTATGTATTCATATTATGCTCATATATATACATTATATTTTTTTTGTACAAATTATCATCATAAAATTTAGTGGAGTGGAGCATATTTGTGATTATATTTTTGGATGAAAAAGTGAAAAAATGGTGAAGGTCACAGAAATGTGAAAAATCACATAGAAAGAGTATGCACAAATTAATGGATAGATCATCATAGTGGTGTGGTACATAGTGGTTTAAGAAGAGATTGAATTTTGGTATTTGGGGTGAAAAGGTCAAAGAAAGTCAATTTTTTTGTATTTTTTTTCCTTTATTATTCAGCCATAGGGTGTTTTTATGTGCTATTATGTAGTGGTCAAGACATTTACAATTATGTTTATGAAATTTCTAATTCTAATAAAAAAATAAAAAAAAAACGATTTATTAATATTAGTTTGTTAGTTTTAGCTTGTGTTTACCAAATTGATTCAACTTAATTAGTGCCTCAATTTAAGTATATATTATTGTTCTCCTTATAATAATAATAATTTATTAGGAATAAGTACATTATTGGTATAATAAATATAGTAATCAGTAACAAATTAATATCTCAATTAACAAAAACAATTACAAACAGATATACTCACAGATTGAACTACCATTTCCCCAATATACTAAACTCCACTATTTAAAATCATAAAATTATGACTCGCCTATGTTGTGAATTTCTTAATATGATCTCAGCAGTGGTGCTTCTCATTTCATAAAAAGATTTTATAAGCAAGGTATGTTCTGACTATTTGTCTAGTTAACTATTTTACAGAGACTTTCTCACTTGCCTACTGTAGTTGTGTGTCACCAAGCATGTCAACATATGTGTCTTTAAGTACTAAGTCTTCATTGTACAATCATTGGCATATCAAATTGTTATTGCAGGTTCTCAAGATTAAAAGGGAAGGTGAAAGTAAGAGGCACAAACCCTTCCGTAAATTGCCAAATCGTTATCTTCTCTGGCATGGTTCCAGGACAACCAATTTTGCTGGCATCCTCTCACAAGGTCTCAGGATTGCACCTCCAGAAGCCCCTGTGGTGAGAACCATTTAATAGTGTCATAGACAGGACAATCTTTCATATATATTGCTCAAAATATTTATAATATCATTTTAGCATGATGGTTTAGAGAATCTCTTTCTCCATTTCAGTTTCATGTTCTCTTCCTAATGGTTGTTGTAACTTTCCTCCATTTTGAAATCGACACTTTTTAAGGATTTAATGATAGTTTCTGCATGAGAAGGCTGATTTCTCGTACATTGTTTTTAAACAGCTGTGTGTTTAAACGTTTGTAACTTCATAAGGAAATGTTGGGTTTGAATTATTTTTTTACTATTTTATAGCTCTCTAATTTTACTTTTCAACCCTGTATTGATAACACAAAATCAATTTTTGCGATGAGTGATTGGTTTGGCTTGTCTTTGCCACAAATATTGACTGGAGTTCAAATGCCAAATAAACCAAAAAAATTCAGCCAAAAATATTGTGATTATTATTATTAAGCAGTACATTTCTTTTTTATCCATTGAAGTTTTTTTCATAGACTGTGTGTTGACTTTAATCCTCTTGTTCAATTTCCTTAAATTAATTCTTAGAAATGGATTATGATTTCATTTTACAAAGCTGTAAATACTGGTATGTTTATGTACAACTATATAGTTTGTAGTGCCTGGATCTGAAGATTGATATGTAAATGAAACATCAGCATTTTTGGCTATGATGAATTAAATTATTATTATCTGGTGTAAAATAAGACAAATAAATATTGGTATCCTTATATCATTAGAAGAAACGTAATGAAGAGGCATGGATATCATCAGAGGCTTTCCCTGACAACATATTTAAGCTTCATCATGTGATACTTATGTAGCAAAGATTTTTGATTTGCTAGTAGTTAATGACAACCTCTTCATGTGTGAAACTTGATGATCTGGTATCACTCCCCTTGAAAGCTTAAACAAAATAATTATTATTATCATCTACAGTATTATAATGTTAGATTTGAGTGCTGCCTCTTCATTTCCCCCAGTGACACTGCATGGCAATTTTGATTTAGAAAGCTGCAAATGTGAATTGTGTGGATTAGGGCTGCTTTCAGAAAGGATTCGCAAACACAAAAAAAAACGGAATTTTAGGCGTTTTTTTAGTTATACTGCACCTATTCTCTTTAATTTGTTTTTGTGGCTAGTACTGAAAGTAGCTACTATGCCATCGAATGGTTTGCCGAGGTAAGTGACTGTGAATCTAGGTACCAGTCGCTACCAGTCTTCACCTTTGATCACGAGCCAACTACCAATCGGGTATTACTAAAGTGCGAGGCAGCGAGGCAAAACGACGATTCATGTGAGGCATCGTTTTACCATTTCCAAAAGTGCGAGGCATAACAACGATTCATGCGAGGCATCGTTTTACATCGAAATATGTGCAGAGAACAATGAAAATCCAATGTAAAAGTAATATTACGTACTATTTAATAATTATGCGTGATAGTCATTGTCAAATTTGCTACTTAATTTGATTTGCTACCACAGTGGATTTATTTTTTTCCTCCTAGGCCTAGGCTGTATAGTCAGTAACATCGCTGATCACAGGGGCGGATCCAGGATCTGCTGCATTATTTTTTATTCCCATACAATTAGGGCAGAAATTATAGAGGGTGCTATTTAAGGTCAGTTTAGTGAGCTGTTAAATATGAATATGCATAAGCATGACCAATGTTCGGTGTTTGTAAAGACCACCGGTAACGACGTCCGAGTTGCTATTATAAGCGTACGTTGGAAATTGAAGATTTATGTACAAGAATAGTGGATGCTAAAAAACCAAATATCGTACTTTGTTGTGCAAGAGTAGTAGTAGGCCTATTGATTTGCGCTACGAGGGATGCACGAGGCATGAATAGCTACATTGTATTGTAGTTTTCAGTAGGTCAACAAAACTTTCATTTAATTGGTAATTATTAATTTAGGTCTTGCTTCCTGTAATTATTTCTCTACTACGATAATACGATTAAGTAGACAAACACTATAAAATATACTATACTATAACTATATTTCTTGAAAACATACAAGTTGAATATAAGTGTCTCAATAGGTAAGGTTTGGTGCCTAATATTATAATTAGCTGAGTCACATAACCACAGGTATTTATTCCAAGATAAAGTTAGAGTGTGGTTAGCTTATTCCTGTGTTGCTATTGGAAGTGGGTGCATTGCAACAGATAATGTAACACTTGGTACTGCTATGTAGGCTACACCAATTGAAGGTCAATAACAAAATTTTAATAAACCTATATAAGGAGCCAACGGCCAACCATGCCTTAGTTTAAGGAGTAGGTTTTTTTAGTTTCATAAAATAACTTCAACTTTCTTTTTTCTCAAATTGTCCAACTCAAAGAGCTCAATCACCAAGCGCATAGAGGCTTTTTCGCATGATGCGCTCTACAAATCCAACTATTATTATTATTTATTATTATTAAAATAACATCATTCAGCACTGTGTTAAGATTAAATTTAACAGCAGAGGCAGAGGCAATAGCTGAAATATTTTCAGGAAAAACGCATACTAGGCGGCCTTTTAGTATACTATATAAACGTTCGGAGACAGATTGCAACTCAAATTACGACAGTATTAAGATAATTCAGTGCATTGGTTTAATATATGTTCCTTTCTCATGAACATTTCGCTCATCAAAACAAATATAACAAATAGAATAATGCAATGTGTGTATACTTATATATGTCATAAACTAGAAATTGCAAATTGCAAGTGAAGTACAACTGCATATAAATGTTCTTCGAACAAAATTGTTTATGCGAGTCAAGTGAAAATAATGAATAATAAAATATAACAAATATTATGAGACACGACCCATTGTCTATATTAGAACACTTCTCATTGGGTGACAAAGTCGTACTTGTTCATTTTTGTCAAAAAGTATCTATAGTGGTGAATTATGGTTTAGGTTTTTTAATAAAGTTTCAAAAATTTCTATGTATGTGGAAAATGTAGTTGATTACCAAAGGTTACAATTTTTATTTTGAAGACTGAATGGTCTAGGAAGTGTACATTTTTTATGGGGCAAGTTTCCTTTCCAAGGGCAGGTTTTCTAGGGGCGAGTTAACTGCCAAAGAGTGTTGCCAAAGTGCGAGCCAGCGTGTTATTTGATCACAAATGCGAGACATCACAAGTGTAAGCCAGCGAGCCATGACGTCACGACAATAGATACGAGACGTTAACGAGTTGTGCGAGGTATCAGCTGAGATTTGTGGAGTACAATTCAAAAAACAACTATAGGTCTAATAATCAATTATTGTGATGTTAAATAGACAATGTTAGCTATCGAGGAGCGACGTTGTTTTTCATTGAGACCTTCGTCCCTTCAAGGCTAGGCCTATACCATCCTAGCTAGTCTAGGCCTAGAGTAGGATTTTTTATTTGGTGAGATAATTTAGTATGGGGAGTTTTCAAGGCGGCAAAATTTCTAGGGGCGAGTTTGTAGAGGCGAGTTGACTGCCAACGCACCACACAACATAAGCATGATCGAATTCGGGTCAACTTGGCACCAAGTCAACTTGGCCACAGTTTCGCAGGCCACTAGTATAATACATTTTTAATTATTGTTTAAAATGTAATAATTAGTACGTTGACATAAATAAGTTTAACTGGGTTCGTAAATACTATAGGCCTCAAAATACTGTGTCGAGACTTGGGCCGAGTTGACATTTAAGAGTGCATCTGGTCATCGTTTTCTGCCGTGGATAACATCGCACATTATTTTGGACGAGTCGTACCGAAATTTCAACAGAGTACACTATATTGTGCAATGAATTATCAGGCTTGGAATGTATTAATAGGTATATATAATTTAAATTGTAATCAGAATAATTATTAATAATATTAATAATATATAATAATATATTATTAATATGACATGTACAATCGAAAATAATTATTGCAGCACCCATTTTCAAAATATAAATTTAATTTTGATAAGCACGTAAATTAAATATATGCCCACAGAGAAAAAAAACCAAAAATTCAGAATAATACTAGCACTTTATGATTAACTATATACTTTTCTGCTTCCATGAAAGTACTTTATTATGCAAATTAACATTGAGATTTCAAAACAAAATGCAAATCAAAAAGACCACAAAAGAGAACAGCAACAATTAAACTAATTAAATCACTGTGCAAAACAGCTTTCCTTTTTTTAATTTACTTTGATCAGCGATGTTACTGACTATATAGCCCCGGCCTAGGCGGAGAAAAATAAATCCACTGTGGTAGCAAATCAAATTAAGTAGCAAATTTGACAATGACTATCACGCATAATTATTAAATAGTACGTAATATTACTTTTACATTGGATTTTCGTTGTTTTCTGCACATATTTCGATGTAAAACGATGCTTCGCATGAATCGTTATACCTCGCACTTTTGGGGATGGTAAAACTATGCCTCGCATGAATCGTTGTTTGGCCTCGCTGCCTTGCACTTTAGTACTACTCCTACCAATCAACGCTCATTATAATTTCTTGCGAATATTTCCAAGAAAATACGAATGTTTACGAATGCAGAATGTTACGACGTTACGAAAATTACTGGACACTCAGCGGATCCTTTTTAGTTTTATGTTATGTTAGGTGCCTCCACGTTTTTTACCCAGTCAGCAGCATACTGACTGGGTTCTCTTTCCGAGCAGTTTCTTACTGCTGCTGACTGGGTTCAGTTTCCGAGCAGTTTCTTACCCAGTCAGCAGCATGCTGACTGGGTTCTGTTTCTTTCTTTCTTTCTTTCTGGCAACATTTTAAATGTCTAGTGGCAAACTACTAGACCGATTTAATTAAAACTTGGTCAGTAGGACCGGTGCCACCTCCCATTTATGTGTTGTTCACAACTTGGGGTCAATGGTCACATAGGGGTCATTAGGGTAAAAAACTTTCAAAAAAATGAATAAAAGACTTCTTCTGTCACAAATATCATAGCACAGTCTTGTCCTGGGCACATATGTATTGGCATAATGTAGGGTCTTATAAT